CTCTAAGGACGAACCTAGCAGACCGCTTCTGCAGTAGAGCGTTTCCGCACTACCGATGGATGAGCGTGAGAGTAGAGCTAAGAGCCTGCGGAGGGCTGTCAGTGCCTTTTTGAAGGCCGGAGGAGAAGACACGAAAATGCCAGCAAGTTTACGGGTGAGATTCAAGTTGCTTCCTGAAAGGCCCCAACAGCAACAGCAGCCCACAATTCGCTCTTTGATACAAGAAGAGCATGTAGGTCCCAATGAAAGATCAGGCTTAGCATTTTCTACCCTGCAGCGGCACGAGGTGAGTGGGCGCTGCGTTGCCTGGAACCCGGGCACCTGCCAGCCTCAACGAGCCAGGGCGGCGAGCTCCGGCCATCTCCATTCTTGGGCCAGGCCCCGGAACGACTGTCTACCATGACCATCTAGCCACAATCCGAACCCGCAGAAGGCCTGCATGTATCTTATGTCACTCATGTCCTTATGTTGCGTTTATCTCTGCAATCAGCAGGGTTGTGGTCGACAAGGCCAAGGCCGAACATGCTCCGCCAGCCAGCTGACTTTTTGAGTTTTCCGATATTAGTAAGGTAAGTGTGCCACCTGTATTCCCGAGCCAATGCAAACTATTCAGTCACTACTCATCGTCATCCTCGCACATCGCACGTAGCGCATGGAGCATGGCCCTCGCATATCCCGTCGTGTGCCAGGCTGGGGTGCTGGAGCGGCCGTCAGAGGTCGAGGTGCCGTGTTTGTCGAGCATGGGTTTAGGCTTTAGGGTTTAGGGTTTTTATGTTATGAGCAGCATGAGAATGTCAGTGCCAGTGCAGCAAATTTTCCTTCAGGCACCTGCCAGAGAGGTGACCTTGCGTTTGGCGCATGCGGAGGCAGGGCCGGGGGTGAAAGCTTCTTTTTGCTGGGCCTGGGCATCTTTGGGTCCTTGCGCCCTTGGAAGGCGAAACTCTGCACGGAGCATGCAGACCGCAGCTTGAAGCTGTTGATCCGGGCACAGGCCGCTGCAAAGGAGCGCGGCTATTCCGCGTGGATCACCGCCTCTCAAGCCCGAGTGGCTGAGGCTTACCTTTGTGAGCCTGGCAGTGGGCATCAAGAAGCTGCACGCAATTTGTTTGAGCGTTTGCGGCAAATGCCGGCACCTTCCTGGCCGTCACTACGACGATTTTCTTTGGAACGCTCACTGCTGTGTTGTTTGACAGCACTTGGCCTTCCAGTCCCTGCGCTTTGTTCCTCAATTCGAGCAACTCCTGCCAGCTCATCGGTTCACTCTTCGGCTGAGCCGTCACCAACGCAGGACCATGGCATGTTGAGGAGGAGTTTGGTCCAAGACGCCTTCGAGTACATGCAGCTGCCAGAATCTGCGGTCTCAGCCGACTTGAGCCAGGCAGAAGAGCTTGCGGCCTTGGTTGTCCGAGCTGCTCAGGAAGAGGCTGACAGCATCGAGGTGCAGCTAAGCCAATGCCAGGTTTCTTGGAGCAAGGCCGCAGAAGATCCAGATGTGTTTCATGTGCTCTTCGACAAGCTTGAGCTGCCCATCAGCTTGGAGCTAGCAAGTTCTTCTGCGAGCACGACCACTGGACTCTTGGCTGCGTGTGTTTGCAGCCAGAGGGTCACCGGGTCACCGTTCCCCAAGGCTCAGCAAGGCCAAAAACTACAGCAAGCCAAGAGCAAGTGATAGGCTCTTGTTGCGTTTTCATCAGGCCCAGTAGCAGACAGGACTTTGCAAGATACTGCATGAATGCATGCATGCAGCTGTGTGTTTAATGCGTGCATGTCTGTTCGTCTGTCTATATCTGCGTCTCTCTCTCTCTCTCTCTCTCTGTCTGTCTGTCTGTGCCTGTCTCTGTCTCTGTCAGTCTGTGTCTTTGCGTGTCTGTCTGTGTCTGTTTGTCTCTCTGTCTCTGTCTCTCTCTGCTTCTCTCTGTCTCTCTCTCTCTCTCTCTCTGGCTCATTGCCTGTCAGTCTGTGTGTCTGTCTGCGTGTATGTAAGTATATCATATAGATAGATTAGAGTAGATTAGATGAGACTAGATTAGGTAGACAGATAGATCGATAGATAGATGGACAGATAGGGAGATAGACTAGATGGATAGATGGATAGTGCCCGGACACCAGCAGCCCCGGAACCCGACTCTGGCTTCCAAGGCTCTGTGCCTTTGACCATCGAACTCGGTGAAGGTCAGACCTGGGAGGCCGCCCAGAACCAAACTTCACCTCAAAATGCAAAGGTTCATTATTTCGGGTTCTAAGTGTATATAGTATGTAGTCGTGCTTGTTTTACTTTGCTGATTATACTCCATCGGGATGACTGACGGCGCTGCCCCACGGACTCACCTGCAGGACTGTTCAGCAACTGGTGCGAAGTTTCAACTTGTTATGAAAAGGTTGAGTGAGAAGATGATTCCATAGATCTAGATGCTGAAAACGCAGAGACACTGTCCACGACCTTACATCAGATCTCTGGCTTGTCCTGCCGAAGGCCGGGTGCCCACTGCGGCTCCGGGGCTCCTTACCAGGCGCTGGGGCGGCGGTGACGACGGCGCGGAGGGAGTCCGGGGGTTCACTCAGGGTTCGGGGCTCAGGTGCTAGGTATTGTCAAGCATGGAGTTCTCGAGGTAGTTGGGCTTCAAAGTCGCCAGACCTGCTTCCGACTCCGAAACTCGCTGATGTTGAACTGGGCGTCTATGGGCCTATGGGTGTCTCTAGCTGTTGGTCGATTGAGCTTAGGACTTGCCCCCTCCCTGTAAGCCTCAGACATGTGCGGCTTGATTGCAGATCAGTGCAGACGGCTGCATATCTTATACTATATTATCTTATATTGTATTATATAGTTATATAGTTATATTACATTATGTTAGGTTAGAATAGAATAGAATACAGTCCATTGCAGGTTCGCCTGGTCTGGGCCCGGTCCACATCAGTGGTATTTCTAGGCAGGCTGCTCGAAAACCTCAGTCGCCAGTTACTCCGGAGACTCAGGGTTTAGGTTTAGGGTTTTGGGGGTTTTTTCGGGTTTTTAGGGTTTGGTTTTTTGACGTCTCTCCCGATACTGCGAGGCACATGTGGCCAGCCCTGCGATTCCTGCGACTTGATCAGTGACGCTGGACGTCACTCGGGGTTTCCCGCCTTCAATCTTGCTGACGGCACCTCGAGCGCACGGGAGTCCAAGGAAGGCGCACGCAAACCCAGCGACCTCCGGCTGAAGCTGGAGGCGGAGACGGTTCTCCCAGTGGAGCCCGTGGCTGGCTTGGTTTCCGAGTGTTTCATCTTCTACGTCGTTATCTACGCATGGCCGGAGCGACCGTCAACGGAATCCTGCCAAATAGGTCTTGCCTGCCACGCCCGTTTCAGCGAGGACCTGGACGACAGCACCCCTGCACACTTAGCAGAAAAGCCCATGGGCCTTCGCGTAGAGCTCCTGAAGTCTTCCGGTGCTGACAAGCCATTTGATTTGGAGCCCCTGGCACTGGGTACCTCGAGAGTGGTGGCAGGTTTTTCTGCGTCCGAGTTCAAGGCATCCGAAAATCTCCTCGGTCTGCTGCCGGCTGACCTAGAGGGGGCTCCGCTTCGGCTCCATCACAAAGGATCCTCCCAAGGACTCTCCGAGTTTCCAGCAGCCTTTTCCTGCGTTTCGGATGCCAAAGGCTGTTTGAAGTAATTGAAGTACAAGAGTATATCATCATGTTTTGTTTATATAGTATCCCATATTTGCCTCGTTTCCGGAACTCTCAAAGATCTCCTGGTGAAGCCATGCGCACGTCATGGGACCAGGAGGTGTGTCGCTAAGTCCGAGGTGCAGCCTACTTTGCTCTGCCCTTGGCAGTCCGCTGCGAACACGCCTGTGGCGTGTCTCTGGGGCTTGAGGTGCAGCAGATCGGCGGGGATGCGGCGGCGCAATGCTGGACCCCACAGATCAAGTTCAAGCATCGTGGCACACGTGGAGTTGGTGAGTCTCCGTTTATGTTTCTGTTTCACGGCCGATGTTTTTCGGTTCAGTTGTCTGACATCTAAGGCATGCTGTGAAATTGCACACTGCAGAGGAGCGCCTATCAGCGGCGATGTTGGCTCAGAAGCCTGTATCCTTTTCTTTGCGGTGTCACCTTGCCACAGCCGTGGAGACTGTCAAGGCAGAGATATTTTACACACCGGAAGGCTCAGACACAGAGCGCACTGTGGCTTGTTTGGGCAAAATGGGTCAGATGCAACCTGGATCCTCTTATGCCTTTTTGTGGCCTGTGGAACCAGGTTTGGTGTTGAAGTCTCGCCCCCGTTTACGAGTGTGCTTCCAGCGCTACCAGGCTGCTCAAGCTTTCTTCCCGTGGAAGGACATCAAAAGCACTTGGCCGCCCAACCCGATGCCTGCAGCAGTGGTTGAGTGGCTACTGCCCGTGCCAACAGCAGCTGCTGTCAGCAGCCAAAGCTTGCAAGTGGAGCTACAGGCAAGCAGCACGGGAACGGTTGGAACACCACTAGCTGTGCAGGTGCGTCTGAGGTATGCCAGATCCGTGGATCATGACGAAATCAAGATTCGCGTGCTGCAGGGTGAGGGCGAGGTTCCGGACCGGTACCTCCTGTCTGGGCCGACCTGCTACCAGGCTGCTTGCCTTCCCGCTACTGACCCCAACGACGTTATTCCTGGTTTTGCACTGATTCCATTGAAGACTGGCTGGCTCTCACTCCCCCGAGTGCAAGCTACATGGGGGAGCCAGGATGCCACAAGCACCCCAACTTCTGTCTTCATCACGCCTGCTCGCCAGCTTGCTCTCGTACGCAGTCTGACCTGACAGCCTGCATGATAACGAACAACTACTAGGCGCCCATTCTCAAAATGTCGCCTTGTTGAGCGTCGAAGCAGTCAAAAACACACTGCAAGTTTGCGCTGTTGAGTGAGTAAGCATGCTGTGGAGCATCAGGCCTTCCGCAGGTTCTCGCTGTGAAAGCTTTTAGAAGGCAGTTCTGCATGAGAGATCTCAGGGTCCTGCAACTAGCCGCTTTGAACATCTCAGGCCGACTCTGCTGTTGGCTTCCGACAGCAGCAGCCCCAGCCAGGAAGATCAGCGTTGGTCCTTTGGAGTTTCTCGGAGTCTGAGATGACCGCTTGCTCATCTCGGACAAGGAGGCAGAACGATTGAGGCAAGACTGCGGCAAGATGCTTGAGTGAGCGACAGGCACCGAATGAGCGTTGGCGACAAAGACATGCAAGACTTCTCCTTCAGCATGCCACGGCACAGGGGTGTGTTGCGTGCGCGCTGCGGCGACAAACGCCTCCAAGCCATGTCCTCAGCTGAGGGCATGGAGCACCTGGTAACTGAACGTCAGCAGTCACGAATGCTCCCGCATCTGTGCTAATTTGTGTTCGTTGGCCTGGGCTTTAAGTCGTCTTAAACATTCGTGTCCACCTGGCACGGAGGTTGTGGAGCTGAAAGACTCCGGCCATGCACCACTGGATGGACGTGTAAACATCGCAGAGCTTCTCAAGGACTCGGACCTTCGGCCCAGTCTATTCAAGACTGCACAAAATCAGTCGCAGCTTGGTGCAACAAAGAACTTTCTGCTGGAACTGCGCAGCAGCTACACCACACAAGCCTCAGTTGCCGACGCAAGTCATGAGTGTACAGGACTCTCCAATATACAAGCCGGGAGCTTACAGCAATTACGGCAGAATGTTCACATCATTCTGGAGCCCACGACTTGATGGCAGCATGTCAGCCTGTATGGCCTGCATTAGATCTATCTGTATTTTCTTGTCATGATCCCGCTTCTTGCAGCTGATGAGGAAGCCATCTTCACGCAACTATGTTGGCAGCAACCTTGGCAAAGCATCGCTTGAAAAAGTGTCAATGTCCTGCGAGCAAGACCCCCCGCCCGTTCCAATGTAACTAGCCCAGCAGGGCTGCCCAACACAGAATGTCATATCGAGTCACATCTCAAGAGAGCTGCATCCAAGAGCCTCGCCGAGATGACTTCGAATTCCCCACGCTCGAAAAGCTGGAGCAGGGCTCAAGAAACATTGAGCCCATAGCGGCCTTGGTGTCCACCCGGCTCGTCCTTTCCAGAGCTGCTCTGCTGCTGCCGACGGTGGCTGCTGCTTCCTGCAGAGATTATCTTTTTATGCTACAGTAGCAAGAAGATGGTTCCATACTGCTGCATCTTCTTCAGTCATAATTCATGCGCTTAAGAATTCTGCGCACTCGCTCGCTTACACACTCACTCACAACCTTGCAGTTTGCTGATCCCGAACAGTCCAAGCCACACAGCCAGGTCGCCAGTCTTCTGCAGCTGGGACGAAGAGGTGGGAACGCGGAGGCCGGCCACCCGAACCGTCCCAGCCATGCGAGGCGCTATTGCACGTGCATGTGTGGTGGTTCGCGGCCGAACGAGCTGATACGAGTGGCACAGATTCCGGCCTGGGCTTGTGAGGCACGGAGACTACAGCAGAGCTCTTTCAGCAAGCAACCCGAGCACCCAAACCAGCACAAAGCAATCACCAGAAGGTTACCGAGAATTGAAACTTTTATGCAAAAAGATTAAATCTCAACGCCCCATACGCCTCGTAAGCTTCGGGAGATTGCATTCATCTGCACTGGTGGTGCTTCAAGTCCACCTTCATGTGTGCTTGAAAGCTAGCATAGTTTCAGCCCCCCTTCCGAGCTAACAGTCTCGCATGGTGCCCAACTGCGCGAGAGTTTTTTGTTTAAAGCCCCGTATAACCTGTGAAACCCTGAACTCCGTACCGCAACCTCACCCTTCCCCCGAGGTTCGGGCTTGAGGGAGTGCCCGACCCCAAAGCATTGGGCCGCCCGGTTCTCCTGGCCTCCCTGCCTTGCTTCGGGGATCTTCGGGGTTGTGGCGACAAGGAGACATTGAGAAGCGTGTCGTTAATGAAATGCATGTGAATCAGGAAGCGCATGCACATACACACGCACACATAGTTGAAAATACTCCAGCACACAACCAATCAGCACCCAATCCAAAATGTTCAAATGCTCGTGTATGGCATATGTGCAGGAAGCCACTGCTGCAACCACGCTTAATCGAAATTGCATAGTGCATGTGTATGTGAGTGCGGTTCATTAGTTGTCATGAGTTCGTTTGTCTATACAGCTACTGTTACTGGATATAAAGTAAACAATATATGGGGTTGACGAGGTGTGTAGGCTACCTATGTTACTTGTCCGGCCTAAACTGCCTACTAAGCCCCCTTTTGTGTTGCACGTGATGGCTGGATTGCTTGAGGAGTGAGTACTCAGAAGCGAGCTTCAGCTGTCTCACATCGCGGTTTGAAAAAGCCACTGGTCTCATCTTCGTAGGCAAGACTCCGCAGCCCAGAGCCCAGGGCAATGGGGAGACGCCGATGACAATCCATGCAAGCTGTCATGATGCTGGCCAGGTTGGTAATCATCAGCTCTTTGCACTCGACTTAGGCCCACTTGCCACCGACTCAGCTCATGGGATCTCTAGTATTGTTGCGTCTTACGGAGCTTTGTCTGCCTTGCCGCAATTTCTCAAGCAGAACGTCTCGGGAAAAATCAGAGAGTACGGCCGCAGCAATCATCAGTACCTTTGCCATGTATGTTCGACCTTACGTCCCGTGTTAAGCAGGGGTAGTGCTGCTTAGGTTCGTGAGTTCCTCATCGAGAAGGGCTACGCTGCGAGAGGTGGCGGCACAAATGATCTGAGCAGACGGGTGGCGGGAGCAAACAGATTCTCCCTCCGGTCTGGCTCACGTTCACAGCTGGGCTCATCGGTAGATGTTACTGCACACTCTCGAACTGTTGTGCTGCACGGATTTATGGAATTCAGGCTGCGGCTGCGCATTTGACAAAGGAGAGCTTGAAGGTTTGCTAAGCTTACCTGCAGGTTTGGCGCACCCGATCAACTTTCCCGAAGTCACTCGGAAGCAGTTCGGCATGAGCTTCCGTTTTCACGGCCACGAGACGGAAGTGATACAGAGCCGACCTTGCAGAAAATCGTACCTTGTCGGTGTATGCGGGTCACTTTGACTTGGCTCAGCGTGGTTGAAGTTGACCCAGCAGAGAGCACGTTTTGTGAATCCCTCTGAGTCTGAGCTGACTAGGCTAGTGCGGCTAGTGGCCAGCCCTAGGCTACCAAGCGGTAGAGAAATTCCAGCAGGTTCCACGATATGTTCAGAACAGATATAGATATGGGATCTTTCATAGTGCCGCCAGGTCACGGCAGGCTGCATAATTGAGGACCAGGAGGTTTCGAGAACTGTCGCCCAGGTCTCCTTGAAGGCCTTGAACCCCTCTCAACGGAAGGTTGAAGCCCCTCTCCACAATCGTCAAGCTTCTTGATTCGGAGAGTGCGGCGCGGATGTTCAAAACTGATAAGACTGAGACTACAAATGCAACTTCCGTTCCGCGGAGCTTGAACTGCGTGCTGCCGGCAAAGGTTTTCAGCAGCTTGGTGTCAACAACTGTCACAACAGATGACCCAGGTGCATTCGGGCTGTTCAGTGCCATCAGGTCTGCAGATGAAGATGAGACTTGTGCTATTCAGACGCATTACTATGAAGTTACTATCGTTCATTATATGATATGCTTGTTGTCACTCCATGATGTCGCTCCTGTCCTTCTTATCCGTATGCTTCTTCTCGCTACGACGTAATCATTCTCATCACCATACTTATTTGCTACCACAATTCATTGTCCCCTCCTCATCCTCCTGCTCCTCGTCGTGACGATCATCATCCTCATAACCTCCGTCATCTTCATCAACATCATGGCCTTTATACGGTATCTCAGTACGACTGTGCCTGCATGCTTTTTCCCCTACTCACAAGCCTGCGTGCTTTTCGTAGCTGCAGCTCTCCCTGCAACCGTCATGCAAGCCACCGGCTCCCATGCTGGAACCCAGCTTCACTACAGGGTCCCAGACCACAGGATGTTTGCCGCCAGGTTTCTTGGACTCCACAGGTCTTCCCTTCGAGCTTCGTGCAGCTGCGAAAGCGGGCCAGAAAGTGGCTCTAATGCACTCTGTACCATGACATCCGCTGTTATTTCCGTTGGTGTTGGTGCTGTCTCCCTCTCTCTGTCTCTCTCGCTCTCTCTCCCTACATGGAGCAAGTCGGCATCCCGTTGCATGGACTGCCTGCTTGGTGCATGCTCAGAAACCAACAATGAGAGCGATAGCCAAGTTCGCAGTGAGGCTTTTAAGTTTCGCTGATGCCTTGAAGGGAAAGTTTCGAATTAAGGCAGTGGAGGAGCTCACGGGGCAAGGCAGCTCACGGCAACACCTGCATAGCGTATTTCGAGCTTTTTGCTACAGAAGCTGCAGAGGAGGTTTGCACGCTGTCTGCCTCTGTGCATACTGTATGTTGTGCTGGGACAGGCAAGAAAAATCAGCCCATGGGACCTTTCGGCATGGGCCAGTACCTGAGCTTTCGGACAGGGCGAAGAAGCTGAAGCTGCTGGATTCGTTTCGTGGGGTCCATTCTTCTGCAAGGCGCGGGTGAGCATGCCGACATGGAGAGTGATGGTGAGGCTGGGGGGCATGCACAGGCAAAGGCCTGAACTCCAGTGCCTTTAAGGATGATGAAAGATTCCAGGTTGCTGCCCTTTACCGCAGCGCCTGCCTTTGTAATCTGCTGCTATCCCTGTCAGCTGGGTGTGGGCGAGAACTTCGGGGTCGGCGGCGCATTTGCGAAGTGGGGCGCAGCATCAGGCTCAGCCCAGGAAAGCGGCGGGAGCCGAGTCAGAGTTAAGTACAATTCTCGCCTCTCAGCCAAGGTTCCTGTGACGCCGCGAAACTTTGTGAGGCTGCTGCAGCGAAACGAGGCCTTACTTGGCTTAGAATCAGGGACTCCGAGCCTCGGCATTCTGCTTTCCGAGGCCATGCGGATACAGACTTGCCATGTGATGTGCATGGCGTTACGGCGTTACGGTCTGTGGCTTTGGCTCGAAGGTCCGTCGGCGGCGGTCCCCAGCAGTTTTACCGAAGTCCGCGATGTGCAGAACATGGCACGAGTCGTTAACAGGAAGAGTCGGTGAGCAATTGGTAAGATCTGTTGGGACATTGCTGGACTCGGTCAGACTGTGACTAGTGTAGCTTTCCATGACGTGCCTCCCCGCAGCGGCAGCGGCCCGGCTGCAGTTTGGACGAAATCCGAAGACCGAACTCCAGGCCCAGATAATTACTCAAATTACTGGTTCTGACTGATCGTTGGAGCAGTTTGTCCTGAACGCAGCATATAATTAGTGAGCCTTCGGTGAGTGCACCGGGTCTCCTCAATTTGTCAAGTCACGTTGTTATTCAGCTTAGCCAGAAGTCTTTCTAAATGGTTCTTGACCAGACCCCGTCTTGGGCTCTGGGACCTGCGGCACAATCCTGCTGCCGATAGCAGAGCCGGGAACATGGTCGCCTAGGCCCCTCCTCCCATTCCTCCTCTTCCCACAGTGAAGTACGTAGAAGATGGCCCAAGCATTAAAGTCGAAAAGGAGGAGGCTCCACGAAGCCAAGAAAGCACTCATTCTGAGATTTTGGCTGCTGCGTTTTCTACGGCCGTGGCGCTCGACTTCTCTGTTACCGCTGATGGGCGGGTGGAGTCGACCCAGGCATCTTTGCAGACATGTATTTCAGCGGCATCCATTTTGAGGCTGTAGAGAGCTGCGGAACATGTTGAGGCCGAGGCCTTGCAAAGATTTGCCAAGGCAGTTTCTGTCTGCGCAGGAAGACATTGACATCAAAGACTACGAGGCTGTATTTGCGCATCTTCAGTTGCAGGCTTAAACAGATGTAGAGGTCACGCTGGAGCCAATGTATCGCCGATCGCCAAGACCGTTTGCAAGTGCCACATGCAGGAATTTCGACAGAAGCACCGGAAGGATCAGTACCAGCAGGACATGAGTTAACCAAAAAGCGATGGTCGAGTCGTTGCCAGTCAGCTTCCCCAGAAACCAGTGCGAACACTCGGACTCGTCCTAGTAGCAGTAGCAGTACCAGTACCAGTAGCAGTAGTAGTGGGAGGAGGAGGAGTTTTAGTTTTAGTCTCAGCAATTCGTAGAAGTAGCAGTTGCAGCACCAGTAGAAGTAGCAGTAGCAGTAGTCGTCGTCGTAGTCGTTAGTAGTGGTAGCAGTGGTAGTCGTAGCATCAGCAGTAGTAGCAAGTAGGTAAGAGTGGCATACCTTTTTGTCAGGATGCCCTGAGCTACAAGCAGCGCTTTGAGATGTTCCAGCGGAACAAAGCTTTGGTGACAGCACACAATGCTCGAGAAGGCGGGCGGGAAGCAGATCTGAAATGGACACCAGGTTATCTCAGAAGATAGCGGCATCCACATGACATAGTGTGGTGCCGCGGCTGGTATTCGTGACCCCCCTCGCCCCCCCCCCCTGCAACTCAATATCTCAGGCATTACATGGACGGCCGCGGTGAATGTGTTCGCAGATTACACTGATGCGGAGTTCAAGGCCCATCAACCTATGCCGTGATGCCAGCTAGGTGGGAGGCAACAAATCCCATGATGCACATGAAGCTTGTAAGCTCGAGACATCGAAATTGCAGAAAAGTTTGAGAATGTGCTGATCGGGTGCTTCGGTTCTGAAGCCTGTGAAGTTCAGCAGCTCGAAGCGAAGCAAAGATTTGCTCGACTCTGTTATTGTCTGTGAGTATCTTCACAGAAGAGCACCAGAGGCCTTGCTGGGTCACCGCCGTTTGGGCCGCTGGTGGCTTCCGAGGCCTTCCCTCCGCCAACAGGCTGGGTCTGTGTAGGACAGTGTAGTATTGTCGCAGTTTCAGTAGGAATGTTGCAGTACACCGTACTCCGTTTCGTTGGCCACAGGAACGCTTTGAACCTTCACATGGCTGAGCTTGCGCAAATATTTGACAGGCGTCTGGAGTGGTTCGGCGCGTCCACGAGGAGCTTGCAGCAGAAGTGGACTGGCGCAGGAACCTCGTGCCGCCCCCAAGTCTGCTGGGAAAGCCTTGTTGGACAAGGGAGTGGCAGGGCCTTGCAGCATTTCGAAAGTTGTGGAGGCAGCCCGTGAGCATTCTTCCTGCGAGCAGTTCGTTTGTGCGAGAGCTCTAGGGCAGCTGCAGCAGCACAGGTGACCACGAACTTCGTCCATCAACAGGTCGACCACTGGGCTTGAGTTTGAGCTCAACTGACTTGGTTTATTGTGGTTTCCAGGACATAAAGTCTGCATGTTGCTTGGTTTGTCCAGATACCGAAAGTTGCCGGCACACAGGGGAAGGCAAGGCTGGCTTCGGACACCCATGTTCTACTCTATTCCAGCTGTTCACCCGCGGTCCTCAACCACAAGCCTATCTGCACTACAGTTGTGAGGAAAGTTGACTTCTGCAAGGCTAAAGTCGTCGATGCACTTCTTGTAGCTTCAGCTGTTGCGCCATGTGGGTCTGGTACATCTTTGTGCGGGGCCACTTGGTTCGGGGATGTGTCTGGTGCTTGAATCTTGAAGTCGTCTTCCAATTTGGCCCACGCTTGAGGTGCTCTCCCGCCAGGGCCGTGTATTTCACGGATCCGAGGGTTGTACAGGCAACTCAAGAGGAGAAGCGGGTGAGTCTGATTGTGTTAAATGCTTCTTTCCACGAAAGTAGACATCCCAACGACAACACCCCCAAGGGCCCCAAAGCATCCCAAGAACCTTTAAGTTTCGGAGCCCACGACTCAAGCTGAACCTCCGTGGCCGGTGAGGGCTCTTGCGGATCCTGCTGGGCAGTGGCAGCTGCGGGCGCGATTGAAGCCGAGATTGCAGATACAGGCATGATGGAGTTGCCGAAGTTGGCGCCTGAAATTGGCGCGAATGCGTGAAACCCTGGTTTCCGAGTTTCAAAGGCTTCGTGGTTTTGAGCTCTGTTTGTTTTGAATTCCCGAAACTTACCGACAGCTCAGGAGATCCATGCTGAGATTGCCTTGAGGACTGGCTGGCCTTGTGATGCAGGTATAGGGGCGAACCTTTGCGATATGTCTCAGGTTCGAGTCACGAGCCACCTAGTACTATCATGTCTTGGCCCTTTCATCATTCAAGACTGCATGTGTTGACGTCAAGTGCAAGTCTCCCTTCCGATGTGTTCAGGAAGCAGAACCAGCAGCATCGCGACAAGGCGCAGCGTCACCGATCTGCCTGCACGTGTGTGGGAGACTATGTGTTGAGACAGGAATGTTTTTGCATGTGCTGAGTAATTATATAGAAGCTACGTTCAGCTTGTACGGCACGAGCTAGCCTAGGGCTTGTCCAAGACGACTGGGCGTGAAAAGGGTTAGTGAAAGAGAGAATGTACACCGTAGCAGCGCCAAGCGATAGATGCGGCATCAGCTCAGTGTTTCACTAGTGTCACTAGTGTCTTCCCAACCGTTCCGTCGAGAACGAACGCATAGAACCAAAGTTGTCCGCATCCTAACTCTGGATGCACATCCAAGCAGGCGAAGACGCATTCACAGGTTTTGTGCATATCCCCACCCGGCGGACGGAGCCTTCCTGCAATTATAGCACCATTCTGCATGCACCGCTCTGGGTGCATTTCAAAGCTAAGAGTTCGCATGCTTGGTGATATAGTGATAGAGTATGATAGACACCCCGGGCTCGCACTTGGAATCGCATCGCTGCGCACAAGACGGAGAGGTTTGGAGACTGGGAAAGATGCGAATGTGGAGTTACACAACATGGTTGCACCAAACACCCAGCCATTCAAACACACACACACACACGCAGAGAGACACACAGAGACAGTTCCACAGTCACCGGCCCATGTCCCGAACTGCGGAGTTCTTCTCCACGCATTCGAGCAGCAGGTGCCTCGAAATGTCTCGTTCAAGCAGCTTGTCGCGCTGGGCTCAGATGGCCAAGACACACTCAGCCGGCTGTGACGTCAATCTTATTGCTGTATTCCTAGAGCCGAAGAGTTGAAAGCCATCCGCGGCAAGAGTAGTTTAGCGCCGAAGTTCTCTCATGTTGAAACAGCACAGCGAGCACCTGCCGAAACTTCTTGGTCTTTGCAAGGACTGCACCCCAAATCCAGAACATTGTGGTGGCGAGGGAGGCTGCCAGGCGCACCCATTCGGTCGCAAGCGACAGCACCCATGCACCATCGTCAGTTGAACACGATCTCGGCGCACTCGCGTTTGATCAGTTGGACATGTCCCTGCCACATTTTCAGCAGCTTTGGTGATCTGATTTCCTCTTACTGCTCCCAGCTCCTTGCTGCGGACTAGAACAGACTAACTGAGCAAATCGAAATAGATGCGTATCGGGATATCTAGTTCGTGCGCGAGACTGCTCACCAGGGTGCTACCTCCGAACTGGCTTTCGACTACACATCACAGCGGCTGGGCAAGCTCGTCAAAGGTATGTGCTTATAATTTCCAGTAAGGCATCAAGCTTGGTATAATCTATTCCCGGACACAGCGAAGGGTTTCAGTTTAGTTGGCTTAACATCCAAAAAGGCATGGGGTAAGAAAGGTCTGTCGGTGATTGGGCACCGGATGGCCCGCACGTCCACCACTGCCTCTGAGGCATGGCATCTATGATGCTGACCATTATGCTGGAAACATCAACAGCTGCGTGGCAAAGATTTGCCTGTTTGGTTTCTTCATCGGCTCGGTTCGGTGTGGCTGCCACCATGTGATCTGCAACCAAGAAGACGAAGCGTGCAAAGCTGCGTCGAAGAAGTCCGAGGCTCAGCTTCCGCCCTTCTGCACATACGCTCAATACCCGAACAGAGTGCTTCTGGCTGACTGTGCCCTACAGTAAGCTTGGTCGAAAGCAAGAACAAAAGAAGCACGATACCGAAAGGATACAGTACCCACGTCGCCAAGGTCGTCCCCGTACATCCAGATCCGCGGCTGCCCAGTTGCCACCATCAGTCCAATTCTAACAAGCTAAGACCTGTCGAGCTTGCTGTCAGTCTTGTGATTCTGATGGCTGCGGGCGATTGTAAGAAAACACGGTAGTTGGTGCTGCTACAAGCAATCAGATTACAGCGATGACGGCGACGACCAGTACCCTTAAACTTTGTTGGTGAGCGAAATGTTGTTTGAAACCTCGGCACCAAGAAATGTCAAGGCTATGTTCGGCTGGAAACCAACAAGCTCAAGCCTTTGATGGAAGCGCTTGTGTCTCGATCGCACCGAGTAGCAAAGGCCGATGTATTTGAGGTGGCGAGCCAGCAAAGCTTACCAGACCAACTGCCCTGCAACCCTGCACGTTCATGTTCAGAGCTTTCGTCCATGTTCTCCTGCTGCAGCTGGCACATGTCGAGGCCAATGTGGGGCCGGTTTCCGTGTCTGTGGACGCGAGTTCCTGGAACCTGCCACATGGCCGGTATTGAGGGCAGGCAGGCCTTGTATGACGATGGCCTATCAGTAATTTGCCCCTTGGGATCCCGTGGGCACACCTAAGTCTAGCAAACAGCCTGAAGTCGCATCAACACAGCATCACAGCGAGGAAAGCTGTTGTCAATCCACAAACTAGTCTACTGTGATAACACCCTCCATGCTTGTTCATGTGGCGTCACACTGGGCAACGGGTTTTTCATATCGAACTTGGATGACTTCCGCCGCCAATTCGGGAGACTTCTCTCATGTGATGTGGCTTTCGCCGTTTCAAGCGTCACAGTGTTCGACGCGGCGCTGTGACTTAAGGCACCGCCTGTAGCATGCAAACAGTACAGCTGCTCACAGAGTAACACGCACCCTCCGTAGTTCGGCAGGCGAGTTAGATGTTTGCTACCAAGCTTGGCACCTGATCCAGGTATGGAGGTGCCTTGGCTTCAGAAGGAACGGTTGTGGGAAGTTGTTCTTTCGGAGCCAGCACTGCCTGAGACAACGCAACAGCGTGGCTCTCGACAAGGTGGCATCTTCAACGACTGCAAGAGAGATAGTATCGCCTCTCTCCTGCATACAGTGGGTGGTGGATTCGACTTGGCGAGGCAGTTCATTTGCTCCAGTTTGATGGGAATCTGCACATGGGCTGTGGTGGGAAAATGCAAATCCCCCTTCTTTGACTTGACCCTATACCAAACCGGCGGCTACTTCAACTTCGATCGACTGCCGGTCCTGCCATCACTTTGTAATTGTCCTCCTGCCCATTGCAACAAGGTGATAGATCCGCATGCGCAGATTGCTGGGTGTAACTTCGCAGCTGAGGTCAATCATGTTCTCGACTCAGGGCGGACGGTCAGCTGTTGTTCTGCCTTGCAGCTGCAGCATGCAGTCTTTGATGACCAAATCTTGCAGCCATGAGTGAGGCTGTGCTTGCCGTCGGCTACGGCCGGGACTCCAAGTCCGGAATCTTGGCTATTGTGTGCATGCATGCCGTGCTGCATGTCAATTCAGCGAGCTAGCACACACACACACACACGAACCGTGCAGTCGGTTGCTGCAGCATGGATTTCGCAAGCAAGCCTTGCATTTCCTGTGGAAGCAGGATCTGCACGTTTACCTGCGAACACTCAACGCTGAGGACTTACCTACTGGCTGATTCGGAACTCGTGGGGCGTCGTGGCCGCAGCAACAGCATGCAGATGTGTGCAGCATATGAAGATGCCCTCCAAGCGTCACACGAGCTTCTTGCAAGAGGCCCCGAGTGGGGCGAGAAGGGCTTCGTCCGGCTCCAGCTTCTTGGCAGCTAGTGCTCCCAGAGCTCATTTTACACCAGTTGCTCACTCGCCACCGTTGCTGCCTGGCCTACCCTGGACACCTACTGCCAGGCGTCACGCTGCGGACGACGGGAAATGGGACGACGGCTACTGCGGGTTTGACTCGGACCCATGCTTGTGCAAGCCACGTGTTTTTGACCGGTGACCTGAGTACTGCATGTTGGTGAACAGCATGAACTGGAAGTGGTTAGCCCGTTTGGCAGATGGTCCATCTTGACCATCTGGCGTCAGAGCTGTAGTAAAGAGAATAGTTATGAAATGTTATGAAGATGTTAATGGCGCAGGGCGGGCCACGGAAAATGTTCCAGCTCCCGCGTTGACACGATGCATACTTTGTGCTCACGTCCCGTTATTTAAATTAGATCCGCTGGGATTCTTCGTAAATTCCAATATCTGGGCCACCTGTTGACCTCGGAAGACTTCAGTTTCCCAATACGGAGGCAAAGCATTTTGTTCATCCTCTTGAATCCTGCCATATGAGGGGAGGCATAAATGTCTTGCTCCTGAGTCCCGCCAGCACTTGGGGGAAAGATTTTGGCCGTGCTCCTGAATCCCTCCAGCAGAAGGGGGAAAGCAGTTTGGGCGCGGTGTCCTGGTGTTCCGTGTGGTCTCCCGCTGGTCTCCTGGTCGTTGTGGTTCCTTTATCATAGGTTTGCAGATATAAGTGGGCATAATCACATTTCGGCTTGCTGGCGCTGCTTCCACGCTGTAGGATCCACAGCAGGGGACCGGCTGCGATGGTGGCCCGAGCACCGTCCCAGTTTGTGGCATGTGCCTCTTGGATGCAGACAGTAGGTGTCGACTCCACACACAGATGGCTCCCGGAAGTCTGAGGTGGAGTTCTGTCTGACTCGTGGCAGCCTTAGCACCCGGCACACAAGCGGAAAAGGGCTGATGATGAAGGGTGGGGTGACATTCCTTCGCTCAGCTCACATTCATCTATTGCCTGAGAGACATGCATCCTCTCAGGTCCTATCCGAAGGATGTGACCGTTAGCCACTAGAGCGGGCAGGAGATGATGCCGCGTCTCCGGGGCTTTTTGGCCATTTGGCTTTGGCTCTCGTCTCACGGCGGTGAAAGATGGCGACGGCGAAGCTCTCCGTGCGAGCGACCAGAAAGAGCAGTTCCGGTGATTTGGAAAGCAGCATTCCAGATCGAGCTTAATGATCGAGCTTAGAACCTTCGACAGCTGCTGCTGAGTCGCTGGGTAGGAAGACATGAGTCGAGCCGAGCATGTTCCTCATGTTTCAGCCGCCTCATCATTCCAAAACCGGTGACAACACAATCACTTTATCCTGCTCGCTGTCGTACTCTTCGTCCACGCAGGCTGTCCTCCTATTCCCTGGCGGCGCCCGGGAAGCATGTCACGGTCCCACGGAGAAGTGCCCAGGAGTTTTCATCACCGGTCCCAAAACCCAGGTCTGACTCGGGAAATGAAGGGACTCCGATCCAGAGGGCCCGCATTTTGACTTGGGCGAGACGGACTAGGAATAGGCGAAGGGGGGACTTGACGCTGCCACTGGCATCAGCTTCATATGCTACGTGAGGGATGATAAACAACAAGAAGGGAAACAAGGTCATCGGCTTCAAGCGCAAGCCCTTCGCTACCTTGACAAGGTCCCTTATCTTGTCAAGCGATACAAGTTTTCAAGATAACGTTGGATTCGAATCATAAGAGTGACTCAGGTGTCTGAGGGTCCCAGGAGTTCTTCGACACTTCTTCGAACGACGTGCAGTGTGTTTGCTTAGCGAGGTACCAGCTGTTCTGGCCCTCCCAGACTGACTTCGTGCTGCATCCTCAGTTCACTGACTATAGCTGAGAGCGCCGCTTGCAAGGCAGACAGATAGATCCTAGGAAACCCACGTTTCTGTGTTTCGGACAGGTATTAACGCTTAAACATTCAAGCGCACAGGAACGCAGAAAGACACGCGAGCGCGCACACACACACGCACACACACACACACGCACACACACACACACGCACAGAGACAGAGACTCCCTTGTTGTGCCCATCTCCCTCTCGCCTCGCATTCTTCTGAAGCAAGCCCTGCTTGAAGTTGATGCACGGCTGAGGCGTGCTGCAGCCAGGTTCAATGCGATCATCGTACCCTTCGGAGGAGTGGGAAGTGCGGACAATGCGCCTCGGCACTTTGCTTCTGCAGAGTTCGGAGTTCTGCTGCCCCACATCTTCGGGATGAAGCTTGCCTTTCTCGGCTTCGAGACCACTCTATGCAAAGATATCAGGGCCACAGATTGGCACCCTTGGAGACTCAGGTGCGGGTGAGTGAGCGCAGCGAGGCTCGGCATGCCACAACGTGCTTCACTGTGATGGATTGCATCAGCAGGGGAAGACACACGCACGCACGCACACACACACACACCAAGCTGAACTACCCGCTTCGCAAAATCTACCAGGAGCAAGCAGACAGCGAAACCTTGTTGCAATCATCAAGATTGCCTTGATCATGTATGTATCCGTGTCTTCGAATTCTGTGAAGACCGGACTATTGGATCAGAGTTTTGAAATTGTCCCTTAAAAAGCCAAAGGGATGTGCTGTGCACGTATTTCCTCTTGCGACAACTTCGTCACTTTTGCTCCAAAACAATGAAGTACTGTAAGGCAGCGGCGCCGAATCCCAAGATTTAAACGGGTTCGGTTCCAGGCCCCTACACCAATCAGTGAGTCGATATCCTGTGTGTCGTTTGCTTGCCTACACTTTCCTGCCAGCAGGAGCAAGCCGAGCAGCTTATCAGGACAAACATTGCCAACACCTCCTTTCAGTTGCGTGCTTCGATTTTTCAATTTACCGAGCAACTTATTAATTTATACGGGCCATGCGTGGAATTCCATATGACCTTGCGAAACCTGTTCACAGGCTAGTAGAAACTCTTCAGAGCAAGAACTTCACGGAATTGCCTGCGCATGTTCGACTGCAGAAGTGTCAGCAGTTTTCGCTCACGTGGAACTCGGTCGACGACTTGGCCATGCGATCGTTCTCGCTTGGCTGCTCCAAACTGCACAGCGACTGAATTACTGTACTTACAGTTAAGGTGACGGCTGTGGAGGGTCGAGGGGTAGGTCAAACCAAGGCCGTGTTCAAGTCCGCGACATACCTTTACAACGACATGGCATACCTCTTCCACGACCGCCTTCGTTTCCTGCCTTCCAGCCCTGCATCCTCAGCCCCGGGCGCAGGGCCTTGAAGGCTGAAGGGAAGAAGCTTGACAGCTGCTATCTTGATGGCTCAGCGCAAGGTTTCAGGTTTCGAGAGAATCTCCCCCACAGCTGCAATGCCAACAGTCTGGTGGAAGAAGCAACCGCCTAATAGCCAGACTTGTACGAAAACTTCGCACCAGCTGCAGATGTCCGAGAAAGATCGCGAGGGCTGGAAGAAGCTGCTGTCAGGAGGCTCGGATGGTTCGTGAAATATAAAGCCATATTCGCACACACGATCGTGTACCTGCAGGTGGTGGCATGTCCTCCGTGTCTGAAGCACTTGCAGAGCCACCGAGCTTCTCTCCCCCAGTCCCACGTCTACCACCAGCGGCAGCCTCGAAATGAGCGTGCACAAGATCTGCTTGTGTGTTGTTTGTGCTGAGTAAGCCAGGATGCTGCCAGCAACATGGAGCTCTGCCGTCGTGGTTCCCACGCTAAGGCGTCCCAAACTACATCTGGCGTTGGAGACCGCCGGCGGCCCAGTTCTACTTGACGGTCGATTTCTTTGCTTGACTTTGACCCGTGCTCGAATAATAATCAACACTACATGGCTTGCTGACTACTAGCACAAGACGTGCAGCTTTTGACCCTTGCTCGAATAATAATCAACACTAAATCGCTTGCTGGCTACTAGCACAAGACGTGCAGCTCCCGCTTGAAGTTTTGATTGCTGCCAGGCTTTTATTTCAGCTTCGGCAAGCCGGTCGACCTAGCAGATGTCGACCCGAAAGACAAGGAAGGTTGCCCTATTGAACCTGCAAACCTTTGAGACGTTGCAATCAGCAGTTGGCGAGGAGGCCTGCGAGGAGATCTACGCCAAATTAAAGGGTGCCTCGCCAGAAGTTGTACATAATTCACCCGGTGCAACCATGCAGGTCACATGCTCACATTGGCTCATGCACTGCAGGCTTGTCGCAGAGCAGCTGTTACCTGATCTGGCTTTCAGCTCCCGCGAGTTTTCTCATTTTGTAGCAGGGTCCGCCAGTGTCAACTTGTGGCGGCATTGGGTAGCTGAGGCGATGTGGAGCGCGAGATTGCATGGCTGTTTCCCTCTTAGTTCTGGAAGATACAGGGAGAAGATCCAAGAGAAAGAAGAGAGCGCTAGAGTGGCGTCACGGCACTGGCTTTCATTTATGCTCCAGGATAGTTGCACCCAGGTTGGAAAACAGAGTCAAGGACCCCAATCGTGACTTCGTGAGGTCGGGCTCTTGCCTTTGCTTCGGTAGGGAAGGGCAGTCTGGCATGCAGCATGTGCCATGCTGTATACTGCAAAAGTCTGCAGACGACGGGCAGCCTAATGTCCACTCAAGCAGCCCTGAAGTCTCAGGCGCCAGACACTGGAACAGGCGGGCTCCGAAGATGCCAGGAATAGTTCCGGATGCTGAGATGTTGGCACGTAACCTGTTCGCTTGTCGCTTCTTGGAAGAGAGCTGTTTTCGACTTGAAGCTGAACTTCCGGGTATCCATGGGCTGCATCGAACTCACTACAATTCACTCTTTGACTGCAACGATTGACTACTTTCCTTACCTGCCCTCCATCTACTGATGGGCTGTATGCATCCATTCATGCATGCAGATAGGTGTGGGCGTACGCACGGACGCAGATACCTACGCCGTATGTACATACATACATACATACATACATAATACACATACATACTCAACAATGATCGCATGGCGCGAACATCGTGCGGCTTCGAAGCTGTTCTTCTCACCATAGAGCGCTTTGGGCCTGCTGCCGATGCACCGGCCCGCTTCTGCTCACAGGTGATGAACCTGGATCCCCAGCCGCGAGAGGCAGAAGTTTGTTCTTGGGCTTGGGCAGTACCGAGGGTATGGGCTCTCCGTCAACCTGTGAAGGGCAACTATTTAACTCTTCGTGTCATTCTCAGGGGACTGTCAAGCTTTTTGTGAGGGGCGCAGGTCTTGAGGTCTTTGGCTGTGCACGGCCGGATGTCAACAGATTGCAGCAGCACGTTTCATAGAGGATTTTTGGGTACAGACTACAGAACAGGGACAGGGACCGTAATGGGAGATAGCAGGAGCATGATTTTGCAAGGCACTTGATGAGGGAGAATTACGGGAGCCGGCGAGATTCCCACAGCAAAGGCGGAACACTCTGACCCACCCGGTTCGAAGAAGTGGGAAGTGCGCAAGCAAGGTTCCAGATCTTCTGGAATATTGGGCTCTTCCCGCTTCTGCACACACCCGAGCATGAAGCAGTGCATTGCCTGGCTTCGGAGTGATCTTACGAGAAGACCCATGGAGCCGACCGTCAACCGTAGATCTTCATAACAGTATCGTGGAGTTCCCACCAGGAAGAACACGCCCGACTTGTTTGGCATGAAAAAGCACTGTTTCAGCAGAAAAAGGCGTATCGTACACTGCAGGTTTGGGCGCCAGGGACTGGTCTGGTTGTCCAACTGTTTCGAAGGTTGAGTTCCAAAACGAGTGGCATCGTCACCGCCCGAGAACATACTCACTCAGTTTGTTGGGCTGGCCAGGCCGAATCGTATCGATAGCTGGACCAGGGAGTGGCGGAGGGATTGCACCGGAATCAAGATTTGATGGAGTCGAGCATAACTTCCACGACGGGATAGCACAATGCTTCAGACATCTTGCGACGGTATGGCGTTCTTGTTCGAGTTTGCCTCGCGCCTTTTGTTGATCTGGCACGGCTGGACCCCGGAATTCTCAAATAGCTGGCCATGGGTGGCTGATGAAAATCCCGGGTGAATGTTTGTAGAAGCAGAGCAGCATCCGCGGACATTCGCAAAGCAAAATCAGCACAGGCGAGGCTTTAGCTGCAGAGTCTCCCTGACTGCAGCTGAAATCTGCCTTCAAGGAGCAGTGTGGGTCAAAGAAGCGAAGCGAGTGTGCTGCTGCTACGGCTGTAGCTTCATACGTAGTTGCTTGCATAATCTTTGAAGTAGTTGCAGACCTGAGCAGCATCCCCACTCGGGGATGCCAATGGGCGGGAGTGCCACACAAACTCTGACAGGTCAAAGCTGGACCCCTCAAGGGCAACTTCTTGCGTAGCTGCTTCCTCGGCATGTGATTTCAGCCAGGATCTGCAAAGGTTTCGGGGTTGTTCCCAGTCCATGTGCTGATGCTGCGTTTGATGTATTGCCAGGTGGACGACGCGCACCATCTTTCCCACTCTAGGGATGCTGTGAAAGCTTCACAATCCGTCGCCGATGCAAGATTGTGGGCTTCAGCTTTCCACACTTCGAGTCAGAGACATTCCAAAAACAGGGTGATCGGCGTTGATTGGCAAAGTGGAGCTGAGCAGATGAAGGAGTTCACCGGCGAACTTCACTAGGTTTTAAAATTGCCGTGCAGACGGCTTGCACAGTGACATGCTTTACAAGGCCGCGTAGAGAGGCCAACAACATGTTGGCTTCGTTTTCCGCAGTTCACAGTGCCTGTGAGCAGCACTTTCCTGAGAAGCTGCAGGCAACGCAGAAAGCTTTGTAGGTCCACCACCCTTCAGTAGTGACACTAGTGTGACACTGCAGGGGTCACACTGCTCTTACTGTAGCAAGAAGGTTGTGGTGACCCTTTGTGCTTTAAAGTAGGCTGTGGTTTCTCAAATTTTCTGCCCAAGCTTGCAAGAAACAGCTGGGGCACGCTTTCCAATTCGACCGCCAAGTGCGCGTATTCGGTTCGTCAGCCAGGCAAGCCTTCATTGGGATGCTGGCTTGATGAAACCCTCACCTGCAATCACGCCATGCTTTGCTCGTTGGTTGGTCCAGCCGCCATAGAAGCTAGATCATGATCTATCAAAAACTATCGTGTAGGATGTACATCATGACGATTTGCCACGGAAAGCTTCGACCGCAGGCACTTCGTTTCGTGGCAGAAAGAAGACTATCTTCACGAGCTGTTCCTCAATATGGGCTCGTTGCAAGTTTAGGCCGAATCAGTAAGCGAGGCCGTGTTGCTGCTTTTCTTCGAACACATGACACTGTGCGACTGTATGTATTCGTTCACTCTGCAGATGTTTGGCTCCCGCGCGGAGCCCACCCGCTGAACGAGGCAGGGCTGGGCAAGACTGACTTCTTTCTGAGTTTCGGCTGTGTCGAAGTCAGGCCGTGCCATGTCTGATGGTGCGGGCTTCCAAGTTTTTGTTGGCAGCATCTCGGCAGAATTGGATGCCTGCGGCATTTGGTGCTCACTGACCCGGTCTGAAACGGTTCTATGAGTTTAGCATGAATGGCCCTGCAGCACCCTCAATTTAAGGCCTCCCCGCTGACATCTCCGAGGAGGACTGGGTGCGGTACCACTTGCTTTCATTGCTTAGCTCGGAGATCTGCAATGGGAGCCATCAAGCAAGAGCAGCGTTCACCTTATTACTTGGTGTGATTTGCCAGTACTCCGGTTTGAGGCGAATGCAATCCCAACCTGTGTCCAGAGGGCCAGTTCGCCTTAGGGTCCTTGGTTCTGCTGTGCTTTCCGGGGACAACGCACGGAAGCCCTCCCCGTGACTCACATTGTCATACAACAAGGAGCTGAAGTATGTCTTTCAAAGCTACGGCGATGTGAAGAGTTCGGC